GTATCCAAACTTCCAGACTCGCTGTTATCACATTCCCTCAGGATGTCTCTGCTGGCCTGCCTGTGGGCCGCTGGCGAAGCGGAGGCGGCGGCGGCATATGGGCCTTCCATTGGACACGTTAATCCACCAACCTGCAAATCTGCTGCGCGCCTCGCGCCCAGCGGCGGTGGCGCGCCCGCCCCCCCATCGGGGGCGGGCCTCCCCGCCGCGGACCCTCGGCGAGCAGGCGGCCGCGGCGGCGCGGGAAAACTCGAACTCGGAGACCGCGTCGCGGCTGCAGGCGAAGCCGACGACGCTGAGAACACAGCCCGCGACTGGCGGCCACCGGATGGACCGGCAGTCGCGCTCTGTGGGCAATCCACTTGCGCGGCGCCACCCGATGCCGAGGCACCACCACTGACTGAGTCAGCAGCGGGATCCGGAACAGGAGCGTTGAACGGGCTGGGACTGTTCGCCGAAACAACACCGCCGGCCGAGCAGGCAGCGGCTCCTGCGCCCGCCACACTCAGTAGATCGGCCCACCCTGCAGTCGACTTTCCGTCGTTATCAAGTCCTATCCCGTCCGCATCACCGGCTGAGCCGACGATGAGCAGCCCCGAATCCTAGCGCGCACGAAAGACGCCAAATGCGATCGTGACAGTTTCCCCCGAGCATTTTGCGATCAGTTTTTTCCGCGCTGCGGCGTCGTCGCCAGCCGATTCCTCGGCCCAGATAAACTGAGGTCCGATCACGGCAATGCAAGTCTGTCTTCCGAGAAACATTTTCACGCGACGGTCGGAATCGGTGACCCACTCCCGCATCGACTTCTCGCGCGCGCGAAGACTCGCGGCGAGAACTGCCGACACGGCCTTGCGCGCCAATCCGCCGTCTTCAAGAGCGCGCCCCCTGGGCCAACTACGACGCGCAATCCCCGCCCCCCAAACAATTCTGGATCAGCGTCGCCTGCCCCGCCACGGAGAAATCCCAGCGGGCGGCAAGGCAAGTCGCGGGCCGGCAGCACAGCACATCGGACAGGCCCCGAACCCCGAACGGAACTCGCGGAGTTCACGGCAGAAGATGCGACCGCCGCCCCTCCGGGACGGGGCCCCGAGTCTCTGCGCATCCGCGGCGGGGGCCCCACGACCGCTTCCTCGTCGGCTGCGTCGCCGGGGGGCCGCCGTCGGTCAAGCCGACAGCGTTCTCCCTCGGAGCAACAATTTCATCCGACTGCAAATATGAGAGGATCTGCGCCATCGAAAAAGCGGCGCCCCTGTCTGCCCGCCCCTGTTCGAGCAAAATTACCCGGGCGACCTTGGGCGGAACGCCGCATGCCCATCCATCGGGGGCGCCGGTTTGAAGCCGGCGCCCCGCCAGGGACCGCGCGAAGCCGACCATGGGGCGACCCCAACGTGCGCGGTTATTCTCATGAACATGCCAGAGATGCTCAAGCACCGAAGGATCTAGCTCTCTCCATGCTGGATCGCCAGGCTCGCCCAAGTCAGCGAAACCGATCTGGGCGCCCCCCCTGGCGCGCCCCCCCCGGCGGGGCGCCGCCCGGGGGGGGGGGGCTCACGCGAGCTATGCAAGCTGAGCGTAGCAAAGAATCACACCAGCGGCCAACGCCACCTCATAAGACCCCTTCCCGGCCGCGGGAAGGAGTCCCATGACAGGATAATCTGGCGCGCGGAGTCAACCCGATTGACCCTCCCAGCACTGCCCCCCCCCCCCCCCCTGCATGGACTCTCTGACGGCCCTAGTCGACGCGACGCGCAACAGCGGACCATGGTCGTCGGACGTACTAGTGGATCCGCACGCGGCACGCATCCGATCGACGTTGGCAACGGACACTGAACGGCCATGCCCAGCCCTGACGAGCACGGGGACCGGGGCGCCCCGCTTCGCCGAGCCCCGAGAGCCCCCTTCCACCGACCGTCACCAGCGCCCCCCCCCTAAAGCCCAAGGGGAATTGATGATGAACGCTTCCAGCCATGAAATCTGGACGGAGCCCGGCGACAACATGGTCAAACCATGCGTCGCCAGGGCAACCGCCCTGCGTTCGACGCCACTTTTCATTCGGATGGCAAGCTCTTGGAAAGAGCACCACCACCCAGAATTGCGCACATGTCACGAGCTACACCGAAGGAGGTAAAGCATCGAGTTCCAGATCGATTTCGCTTATTTTCCTTGGTGCGGCCACTGAACTTCCTCCGATGCGCCGCATCTCCCGCGCCGCGCCCGCCGGGCTCCGGGCCCGCCCCCACGCTGAAAGAAAACTGTTTCTTCCACGCCGCGCGGGCTACGTCGTTAAAAGCCCCGCGGGGCTTGCACGCGGCATACACGTAGGCAACCGCATCTTCCCATTGGTCGCCATTGTCCAGACTGGCCAAGTACGAAAAGATCGGGCCAAGGTGGAAACGAGCGTTGGCATGGAGCGAATTCAGCGCAAGTTGCCTCAAACACGCAAATTCCCCCTTGAACTGGACACGCCGCGCGAGCGACGTTCGCGACCCTCTGAACGTTCGGGGGGGGTCTTTCCAATGATCCCACCTTCTTCTTCGGCCGGCAAGAATATGGAAACCCCCGCCCTCGTCACGGGGCGGGCGACGCGGGTGCCGAATCGGGCGGCGGCAAAACTCCAGGGGGCAACTGCGCCTTGCCCGGGCCGCCAGGGGGCAGCTGCGACGGAAAGAAACGAGCGCTGGGTCGCGTTCCGCCGCGCGACTGATCGGCCAAGTCAAGATGACGAACAGATCTAGAGCTTTCGGCTAATAGCCGGTTATTTCCCCGATCTCTTTCATGTTCTAACATTTTGAATGGCACGTTTGGTCGTCTTGTCAAGGTTGTCGGATATCCACCCCCAGCGGCTGGAGCGCTCGCAGCTGGCACGGCTTCTTAAGATAGCCCAGCAACCAGAAACGAGGTGAAAGCACATGCATAAATGTATATAAATATACGAATGCATTCATTGACGTATACATTTATACATATGTGTGTACATGTATACATATACAACACTATATAGAGAGGCGCGTGCGCGTGTGCATGTGTGGCAGGCCAGGGGGCAGACGCACGCGCGCGCGGGCGTTGCGCCCCCCTTTTACCTGCGCGCCAAGACAGCTGCGGTGATCCGCAGATGCAACCGTACATGGCCAACATTCCAACGGCGGCAAAGCGTCGGCGGTGGCGAGAGCGGGCAGGAAAGGAGCCGCATTAACTGCTCCTCCTGACTATTGATTCCTAATGGCTGCAAAATCCTCCAGATGTAGCCCCCTCCCCCCGGGGCCGTTCGGCCTTCGGGGATGATCAAACCGGGGCCAGGTGGCCCCTGGAAAACCGGCCCAGGGGTCACCGGCGGCGCGGTAGAATGTAAAAATGCACACTTGCGACAGACAGAAGTCGAGGAGAGGACGGGAGGAGGAGGAAAAACAAATAAGGAAGGAGAAAGTGAGGGAACAGCCAGAGACAGTCGACGGTAACAGGGCGCGGCGGTAGCAGTGACAACATAAAGACACGGGCGCGGGCAATGATGCAAGGAGACGATGGGGGCGCGGCCAACGAGTTGTCGGTTCCTTGCCAACGTTGCCTGCTCGCGCGGGTCGCCCGCAGCCACCGTGGCCCTTGCCATCGCAGCCAGCAGCTCGATCACTGACCCCCCAACCCCACATGAAAACCAACCCACCCCCTACTGACAGTGATCGCGGTCCACTCTCGCCAAAGTGGGAGGCGCAGGGCCCCCCGCCCCTGCTCGTAGGACCCCCCAGAGACGCCCCCCAGGTCAGCGACAGGATCCCTCGCCTGCAGGCAGGCGCAGGGCTCCCACTGTGTTAACCGGCGGGCCGCCTGGTAGGGCCCCACCGAGCGCGGGGGAGGCTTGCGCCTCCAATTGGTGGCCTCCTCCTCCTCCTCCTCCTCCTCCTCCTCCTCCTCCTCCTCCTCCTCCTCCTCCTCCTCCTCCTCCTCCTCCTCCTCCTCCTCCTCCTCCTCCTCCTCCTCCTCCTCCTCCTCCTCCTCCTCCCTACTCCTTTCCAGTGGCTCTCTCTTGGCCCTCGCCAGTCCATGATCGAAGGGGCTGCAACGAGGGGCCCCCGTACACCATCCCCCACCGCCCCCCCGCCCCTGTAGAACGGAGCCCGAAGGCCAGGACCGCCTTACTGATGCAGGGAGCAGGCCCAGGTGCCTGGCTGCCCCTAAACCACCGCCCGCAGGCCGGCGGACCGAAACTCCGCCCGACCTCGGACCGAGGGGGGAGCAAAGCAAACAGAATCTACTCATCCTAGCCTGGCCCGCCACTCCGCCACCTCCCGAGGCGCGAGTCTCAGTGGCCAGGGCGCGGAGGCTTGCCCCCCTGCAGGTACGCAGCGCCACCTGGGGCAGCGCTCCGCACTATCCGCCAGGCCGCGCCCCCCTCAACGCGAGGGGAGACCACGGAAGCCGCCACCTGGGGCCGAGATATGCGGCGCCACCCGGGACAGCACAGCCCGCGCTGCCCTCCATGCCGTGCCCCCCGCCACGCGCGGGGAGACCGCCGGAGCCACTCCCGCAGAGTAATGCTCGGTGGGCCCGCACCTGGTTCCTCCAGGAGGCATGGTCCACCATCTCCTTCGCGCGCTGCCAAGCACCAGCGCCGTCGCCTTCCAGCTCGCGCTCACCGGCGCTCTCGAACAAGCTGCTGATCAAAACATCAAAAGTCACATTCCCTGGCAAGGCCTGCAAAGGAAAAAAAGAATGGGTGAGTGAATGCGCGAACACGCCAAGGAAGAAGCAAAAAGAGCGTTGCTGGAATCACTGCTGGGGGCATGTCACATCATCTCGTGGCGGCCCCACGCCGGCCAGGCAACTCTTGCCGCCACATAATGGAGCGACCTCTCGAAACGCCGCAAGCCTTGACAAACGCCTGACGAAGGTTGCTCCGATAATGGCACGGACATAGCACTCCACTGATCCAGCTCCTCGCATCGCTCACGAACGCATGCGAAGCGCAATCTCTTCTGAACGAAACGACTCGAAGATGCTGCAGAGGCGTTCCACTGCTTCAACTCATCGAGTCTCTCACGGATGTAACTGCTCTCGTCGTGCCAGACTCCAGTATCAGCGCCGTTTTCCAGCGGCACCTCGCGCGCCTCTGGCGGCGAGGTGGGGCCCCCCCGCTCGGCAGGGGGAGGCTCCCCGCAAAAACCTCCCCAGGCGGTGGTGGGAGACTGCGTCACTATAGCAGATGGCGTCTGGAGCCCCCTTAGTGCCTCGGCCTTGGCGCAGGCCTGTTTCACCTTGGGGTGGTTCCGATACTTTTTCACCAGCTGGTTGTGGTCTGGCTCCTCCGAGGTCTGCCGGAAGGGTTCCAAAACACCAGGCGCCCATGGGACACTGAGCACCTCGTCGTCGAGCGAACCCTCGAGAGCTGCTGAAACTGGGCCGCTGGCGAAAACCTCGAGCTCCTCCTCGTGGCCAGCGGCGGAATGATCACCAGAGGGATGCCGAGCAGCAGCGACCTGCCGTCCCAGATCCGCGCAGGAGAAAACGACGGAGCCGCAGAAGCACCGCAGGCCGACAGACTCAGGTGCAGCCCAGCGCCCTGGGGGGGGGCCTCTGGCATCGCCTCCCAGCGCCCCGCGCCTGGGACGAACTCGGCAACAGCAGCGCGCAGGCCCCTCTGCGTCACGCCAAGGCGCGCCTCGAGCCGCAGCCCTCGCTGCTCGCGGCGGAGCACGGAAGCGCAAGCGGTCGAGACATCGATGCCCTCAGCGTTGGCGTGAAGCGCCACGTTGCGCCGAAGGACCTCCAACCAGCTCGAAAGGCGCCCCTCCAGCTTGGCGATTTGGGCAGGCAGGAGGGCCCGAACCCGCTGCCCTGCCTCGCGGCCCTCTGCGAGCGCATCCAGCGTTTCCTCCGCGAGCGACAAGCGCCCCTGCACCGAGAGGAACTCCGCTGACAAGCGCTGTACAAGCCGATCAACGGCTTCCCGCGCCGCACGTCGCGCCGCTCCACGATCGGCAGATGAACGAAAAGAAGAAGAGGCGCCACCGCCAGGGGCGCCTCCCGCAACCATCATGCATGCCTCGCGCCCCACGCCCGTCGAACCCACGGCTATGGGGCCTGGCACCAGGCATGAGCCAAAACGGCTACGGACCTCTTCCTCCTCCTCCTCCTCCTCCTCCTCCTCCTCCTCCTCCTCCTCCTCCTCCTCCTCGTCCTCCTCCTCCTCCTCCTCGTCCTCGTCCTCGTCCTCGTCCCCTCCTCCTCCTCCTCCTCCTCCTCCTCCTCCTCCTCCTCCTCCTCCTCCTCCTCCTCCTCCTCCTCCTCCATCTCCGCCGCCTCCTCATCCTACTCCCCTCCCCCCTATATCACGGCCCCAGCGCCCTGACCCCCACCCTGTAGCGCTGCCCCCAGCGCCTGAGGTCGCCGACCAGCAGCCCAGAGCCCCACGCCGCCGGAGAGCCCGCCTGGCCGGCGGCCTCCTCTCGTGGAGAGTTTCACAACCTCTGCTTCTCCAAGGACCCGTCAGCCTCGCATCGGCACCGAATCGGCTCGGCGGCGCCAGGACGCACAACAGCGCCAATGCAAGTATCGGGCCGCCTCGGATCGTCGGAATAGCGGAGTCGAATCGGATCGGGCCGGCCAGATTCGATATCGACTTGCATCGATCGGATCCAAATGGACCATGGTCCCTCGACTTGCGCTGGAGCGGCCACGGTGTGCTCCAGGAGCGAGCAAACAGAATTTCGAGAAGAGCCCTTCCCAGATCCCGTTGAGCCCATGACATCCTGACCCCTTGCGCGTGGGGAAGTGGTCGGCGGCGAGCGAGGGGGGAACTGAGAAGGAGAAGGCCTTCTCAGAAGGCGGCAGGGATTCTCGGAATGCCTCCAGCCTTCGAAAGGTTTTGACGTCTTCGGGGAAGGCTTAGGCAACTTCTCAGAAGGCCAGGGAACCTGCGAGCCTTTATTGGAAAAACCCGTTCCTTCTCACTTCCCCCCGGGCCGCCGCCGAAGTGAGGCATCCCATCGCTCGTTCATCGTTTAAGCATTTCTGCCGTCCCTCGACACGCGCCAGAGCGGCCACGGTTTGCTCCAGATTTCCCTGGAGATTTCTGGATCGACCTGGACGTACCAGGATTTATCGTGCGCGTCGGGCCTTTCGCCTTTGGCACAGTTTCTGCAAAGCAGTACTGCGCCGATCCGAAAGTTTCCCAATTTCGCCACCGTGCCGGCCGCGGCCATCTGGGGTGGCGCGCGCAGGATATGACTCGCGGGGCCCGAGGGCGGACGGGAACGATGTCGCGAGGGCAGAGTCGGCGCGCCGATGGGCAGCCCAGCGCCCCGTTTGGCCGGAGGGGCCCAATACAATGCAAGGGCAGAGCCTAACCCCCGCCCAAGATCGCGGGATCGGGTTCCCCGTCCCAGTGTAAAATTTGGACTCACAAACGGCGTACTGACCCGAAAATGAACAAACGGCAGAGGACCTCCTCGAAAGAAGCTTTCGGGTTCGGTCATATGCCGACCCGAAAAGTTTATCGGCTGAACTGAAAGTGGCCAGAACTGAAAGTGGCCAAATCCCGTAGGACTTGTACCGAAAAACATCGGGTCCAGTTCGAAAGACCCGAAAATGTGCTAACCGCCTAGGACTCTTTGCAAAAACATCGTTCTCGAGGTCTTCGGGCCCACTCCGAAGAAACCGAGCATGGGCGGTTTGAACTTCCTATCAAAAACGGTTTCTCGGTGGTTCTGGGCCTCGTCCGAAGGAGCCGCCGATGAGCAGACCGCTCAGGACTTCTTGCACAAGAAACGGTTTCCTGGGTGAGCCATTGTCAACGGGAACGCGCCCCGCGCGGGATCGGGGTTCGCGCGGGGGCGCGGCTGCTCTCGCCCGTCCAGGGGGGCATGCATTGTCGCGCCTTTCCAGCATAGCGTTTGCGCTGCATTCGCGCGGCGCCGCGCCTCTCAAATCGGAATAAACTTCCGGAGCGCCGATGTAAGTGGGGCCCGCCAGCGCATCACGCCCAAGATGCGTTCATTCGTGTGGTCAAGTCCATGCGTTTTCGACTTTCCAGGCAGGAAATGGCTCAAAATGCAAAGCTTGCGGACAGGGGGATCCGTGAACGCTCCCCCCTCCTTCCCCTCTCTTGGCCCCCGCCCGTCCGATTGATCTGCATTTACCTCAATTGCTCGGGCTTGATCCCCACAGGTCTCGAGCAGGAGATCGACTACAAGATTGTTCTATCCCAGAATTGATTTTCCTTCGACTCTACCCAACAAATAATGCTCGCAGGCCTGCGAAAATTGTACGTTCGTAGACTCGACGAAAAATCAGCTTGAGGGCAACTCGATTCTGCACTCGATCTCCTCCTCGAAGGCCGATTGGTAGAAGGCCGTCAATTTGGTCGCCCGAGATAGGTACGGAACAAATCCGTACGATGCCCAACAACAAATGCTGTCCAAAACCGACAGCGGCCGGCCGCTGTTGGGCAGGCGGCATTCTCTCAAATGGACACCGTCCGCGGCGACACCGACAGCGAGTCCTGGTCAAAATGGACAGGGACTGCTGTCGGTCTTTGTACCCTTTCTTTCCCTACCCATTTCGATCGTCCCGATAAGCGCGCTTCCGCCCCGTTCGCTGGGCACTTCGCTCGAGTGGTGGGCGGGGCGAGGTCACCTCTTGCGCGCTCCCCGAGGCGGGCGCGCGCGCGGGGAGCCTCCCACCGAGCCGCTGGCCCGAAACACGCCCTCGCCCAACCCAGCCCCAAGCCAGGGCAGAGGGGAGCAATCAAAACTCGTACGGCGGGGCTCCTCGTCGTCGATCCTTAGGGGATCCTCGTCCTCGAGGCAGTCGGCGGGGGCCCCGCAGGCCCGCAGCAGCGCCCGGTCCAGCGAGAGGTCCAGCTCTCCGAGGCGGCAGGCGCAGCCCAGCCCGAGGCCGCCCTCGTGGGCGGTGGCATCCGACATCACGTCGCTCTCCTCCTCCCTCTCCCTCGTCCTCCTCGTCCTCCTCCTCCTCCTCATCCTCCCTCCTCCTCCTCCTCCTCCTCCTCCTCCTCCCTCCTCCTCCCTCCTCCTCCTCCTCCGCCTCCTTCTCCTCCTCCGCCTCCTCCTCCTCCTCCTCCTCCTCCTCCTCCTCCCCTCCTCCTCCTCCTCCTCCTCCTCCTCCTCCCTCCTCCTCCTCCTCCTCCTCCTCCTCCGCCTCCTCCTCCTCCTCCCCTCCTCCCTCCTCCTCCTCCTCCTCCTCCTCCTCCTCCTCCCTCCTCCTCCTCCTCCTCCGCCTCCTCCCCCTGCTCCTCCCCCTGACGTTTGCCCCTCCCGACCGCCGCTAACGCCGCCCCCAAGAGAGAGACCCACGGAGACACCTGGCAACTACCGATTCCCCTGAGTCGATGGGAGGCGGGGGTAGGGTTCGGTTTTCCCCGCGTGTTCGACGAATTCCGAGCCCTACCCCCGCCTCCCATCGAACTGCCTGAACCGTTGATCTGCGAGGGTAGGGTTCGGATTTCGCCGCCGACCTCGTTCGCGCGGTGCACCGCCGCGTTCACGTCCAGGCACCTTCAATACCCAGGTATCCGAGGATCTGCTTGCTCAACCCAGATGATTTTCCTCGATGTCGGCCTCTGGGGCTCGCTATCAGGCCCCAGGACCACAAACCAAGGACCTGAGGCGAAAGACTGAGCCTGGGGAAGAGGTCGGGACTTCTGGGGCCGCGGATTGAAATAACCGGATGCCAGGGTAGTTTTCGGGCGCTTCCGTCGCCTCTCGGCGATTTTCCAAGGTCTCGGGATGCTCTCCAGCGGCTGCGCCTCGCCGAGAGCGTTCCGGGGGTGCCTGGATCGCCCCGAATGGCCGCCAACGGCCAGAGCTGTGGCCCGACAGCCATCATGGGCACGGAGAGGCTCGGGGGGAACGCATCGGCGCCCCATCGCCCGTTCATCGCCGAAAGGGGCCCACCAGCACACCCCGCCTAAGAATGTGCGGATTCGCTGTCGGGGGCCTATAGCCAATCTATCGGCGATGCATCGCCGATTCTGGCTCGATGCTGCTCCCCCTGAGCCGGCCCTACCCTAACGCCCCCCCTCGCACCTGCTCACGAACTCGCGGCCGTGCTCCTCTGGGCCGCCCCCGCTGGGAGAGACCTCCAGGTGCACCATCTCGTGCAGCAGGGTGCCGCACAGAGCGCGCAGCGAGGTGTGGACCGACGGGTCCAGGACGATGATCTGCTCGCCTGGGTGGCTGCCGCCCGCGCCGCCGCGCACCCTGTGCCACGTGGGGTCCAGGCGGACGCCCCCAGAGGCGGCCAGCCGCCCCCCAAAGAACAGCGCGTTGGCAGCCGCGAACGCGGCCGAGGCCCACTCCAACACCTTCTCTTGCCATCGCTCGGACGTCCACTCCCCGAGCATATTTCGATTCCGTGCGCGCATTTTGTTCGCAAAGTGATCCTCGAAGTCCTCGATGGTCCTCGCAGAGGAAACAAGTGCACCGAGCACACGTTCCGACCACATCCTTCGAGCACCTCGACGACAAGACCCGAGCACTTGTTTCCTCGACGACGAGACCCGAGCCCCTTGCTTCTTGAGGCATGTTCGGTGCTCCTCGATGGTCCTCGCCGAGGAAGCAAGGCACACATCCGAGCGAGGCCGAGTTCTCGGCGTGAAGCAGGCGGGTCGCCGATGGGGCACGGGCCCTGGACCCTGCGCCGCCCCCCCCCCCGCACCAGCGTTCCCTGTCCCGTGGAGGGACCCCTGGGCCCGGGAGCGGCAGGACATCTCTAGACGTAGGTCGGGGGAGTCTTGACAACACGTCCGAAACGATTCGGGCCAAGAATCTTGCGAAAATCTTGCCCCGAATCTCCAGCCGCACTGCTGGGGCCCCCTCAGATCTCCAAAGCAGATCCCCCCCCCCGCGAAATATCCAAGCCAAATCTCCACCGAAATCTCTGGGAAATCTCTAGATATCCCCCTTTTGGTGGAAATCTCCGGCGAATTCTGTGGGGCGTCCAAGATTTGTTTGGAGATTCTGGTTCAGACATGTTATCAAGGCACTTCCAGGCACTCCCCCGTTCTAACTCTGGACAAGCGAGTTCCGCTCCTCGCAGAGTAGCTACTCGCCAATGACCGGCATCCATTGCGAGTAGTGGAACGCGCTCGGTGAACCTCGGGGCCCGCTTCCCTGAGGGCCCGCTTCGAGGCACAACAAGCTGCATGAGCATAAATTTTCGGAGGTCCGCGCGGACCTCTTGGATCGGCGCTCGACCGCCCTCCCTGGCGCGCCAGGAGCGCGCCATGGACGGCGCCATTCGCGCCGCCAGGGGGGCCCAGCGCCGATCCAAAAGATCCGCGCGGACCTCCGACATGTTGTGCTGATGCCGGCGTTTCTTCGTCGACTAGACTTGAATGTCTTTCGGGGGCAAACTCCGTTTCTCTGCTCAGGCCCAAAATTCCGATGAACGTATGATTCATGTCTGCGCTGGAACTCTGATTCAAGTCTGGCCCTCAGCGCCAACTCTGACTTAGGTCTGACTGGAACTCCGACTTAACTCTGGCCCTAAGACCCAAGTCTGACTTAGGTCTGACTGGAACTCTGATTGAACACTGGGAACTCTAATCCCACCAGCCCTTTGGGCGTGAGTGGTTTAGAGAGCCCTCTCTGTCCTCAACCCCCCTTCTTCCCCTTCGGGGAGGGGTTTACCCCTCCCCCTACCCCCTCCCCCTGGGCCTGGAGAGGGGGCCCCGCGGGTCGTCAGGGGGGTCAATTTCGACTCCTGGGAGGGCCACAAAACGACACCCCTCACGAGGATTCTGCCCCCGACGGGGGGACCGAGAAAAAAACCTCTCCTCTTCTTTGAAGCCAAAATCATTGATTTTACCACGGTTTCGGCCCCATTTTGGCCTTCTGAGGGGGCGCGCTCCTCTTCCTTCATAGCAAAATCATTGATTTTACTAAGGTTTTGGGCTCATTTTGTCCTTCTCAGGGGGCAGCGCTCATTTGCGCTTCTGAGGAGGTCGCAAGAAGCCCCAAGATGGCCCCAAGAGGCCCCCAGGAGGCTCCCAAGAGGCCTCCAAGAGGCCCCCAAGAGGCCCCCAAGAGGCCCCAAGAGGCCCCCAAGAGGCCCCCAAGAGGCCCCCAAGAGGCCCCAAGAGCCCCAAGAGGCCCCCAAGAGGCCCCCAAGAGGCCCCCAAGAGGCCCCCAAGAGGCCCCAAGAGGCTCCAAGAGGCCCCCAAGAGGCCCCACGAGGAGCCCGAACGACTCACACCAGGACGAGGGGCCCGAACGACTCACACCACGAAGAGCCCGAACGACTCACACCACAAGGAGGGGCCCGAACGACTCACACCAGGACGAGGCGCCCGAACGACTCACACCACGAGGAGCCCGAACGACTCACACCACGACGCGGGCCTCGAACGACTCACACCACGAGGAGCCCGAACGAGTCACACCAGGAGGAGGGGCAGCGCTCATACAAGCCCCCCAAGATGGCCCCCAGAGGTCCACCAGATGGCCCCAAGAGTTCCCCAGATGGCCCACAAGAGGTCCCCAGGAGGCACCACGAGGCCTCCAAGAGGCCCCCAAGATACCCCCAAGAGGTCCCCAAGAGGCCCAAAGAGGCGCCGAAGACGCCCCAAGAGGCCTCCGAGCGGCTTCCAAAAGACATATACTACTACTACGTCTTCTCCTACGATTACTACTAATTTTACTACTACTACTACTACTACTACTACTACTACTACTACTACTACTACTACTACTCATACTCGTTTGACTACATCATCTCGTACTACTACAACTACAACTACTATTACGACTACTACCAGATTTACTCGTACTACTATGAGTCCTACTACTACTACTACTACTACTACTACTACTACTGGAGCTACTACTACTACCACTACTACTATTACTACTACTACTACTACTACTACTGCTGCTGCTACTACTACTACTACTACTACTACTACTACTACTACTACGACGACGACTTCCATATAGACCACTGCTCTAGTGACTGCCTCTGCTACTGAGACAACTAGTGCGACGACGACGTTGACGACTACGTTTGCTACTACCGCTGATACTGGTAATACCACTACTACTACTACTACTACTACTACTACTACTACTACTACTACTACTACTACTACTACTACTACTACTACTACTACTACTACTACTACTACTACTACTACTACTACTACTACTACTACTACTACTACTACTACTACTACTACTACTACTACTACTACTACTACTACTACTACTACTACTACTACTACTACTACTACTACTACTACTACTACTACGCTGCTACTACTACTACTACTACTACTACTACTACTACTACTACTACTACTACTACTACTTACTACTACGACTACTACTACTACTACTACTACTACTACTACTACTACTACTACTACTGACTACTACTACTACTATACTACTACTACTACTACTACTACTACTACTACTACTACTACTACTACTACTACTACTACTACTACTACTAACTACTACTGTTATTCCTGCTACTATTGCTGCTAACTACTACTACTAGCACTACTACTTCTACGACGACGGCTACCGCTACTGCTACTGCTACTGCTACTGGTACTGCTCCTGTCAGCGCTATTCATCGCACTGCTTTTCGAATCCCACCAGCCCTTTTGTGCGTGAGTGGTTTAGAGAGCCCGCTCTGTTCTCAACCCCCCTTCTTCCCCTTCGGGGAGGGGTTTACCCCTCCCCCTACCCCCTCCCCCTGGGCCTGGAGAGGGCGCCTCGCGGGTGGTCAGTGGGGTCTGTTTCGACTTTTGGGAGGGCTAAAAAACGACACCCCTCACGAGGATTCTGGCCCCGACGGGGGGAGGGAGAAAAAATGCTCCCCTCTTCTTTGAAGGCAAAATCATTGATTTGACTACGGTTTTGGCCCCATTTTGGCCTTCTGAGGGGGCAGCGCTAATTAAAGCTCCCCTCTTCTTTCAAGCCAAAATCATTGATGTTACGAAGGTTTTGGCCCCATTTTGGCCTTCTGAGGGGGCAGCGCTCATTAAAGCTCCACCCTTCTTTGATCGATTTCCTCCAAGATGGCCCCAAGAAGCGCCCAGGAGGCACCAAGAGGCCCCAAGATGGCCCCAAGAGGCCCCCAGGAGGCCCCCAAGAGGCCTCCAAGAGGCCCCCAAAATGCCCCCAAGAGGCCCCCAAGAGGCCCCAAGAGGCTCCCCCGAGGCACCCAAGACGCTCCTGGAAGCCCCTGGGGCCGCCAAGAGGCCCCCAAGACGCCCCAAACGGCCTCCAAGAGGCTCCCAAGAGGCCCGAAGAGGCTCCCCCAAGGCACCCAAGACGCTCCTAGAAGCCCCTGGGGCCGCCAAGAGGCCCCCAAGACGCCCCAAAAGGGGACGAGGTGCCCGAACGCCTCACGCCACGAGGAGCCCGAACGACTCACACCAAGACGAGGGGCCCGAACGACTCACACCACGAAGAGCCCGAACGACTCACACCAGAAGGAGGGGCCCGAACGACTCACACCAGGACGAGGCGCCCGAACGACTCACACCACGAGGAGCCCGAACGACTCACACCACGACGAGGGCCCCGAACGACTCACACCACGAGGAGCCCGAACGAGTCACACCAGGAGGAGGGGCCCGAACGACTCACACCAGGACGAGGGGCCCGAACAACTCACACCACGAGAAGCCCGAACGACTCACACCAGGACGAAGAGCCCGAACGACTCACACCACGAAGAGCCCGAACGACTCACACCAGGAAGAAGGGCCCGAACGACTCACACCAGGACGAGAAACCCCAAACGACTCAAACCACGAGGAGCGCTTTCTCTCCCTCCTCCTCCGCCTCGTCCTTCTCCCGCTCCCCCCACAAGGAGGATGCACAAGGAGGCGGGAGGAAGGAGGAACAGGGGAGATATGCGGGGCCAAGCGGACACACGCCTGAAAAACACGACTGTCGGCATGCTTCGCAAGAGTTGCTGCTGTGAGATGGGCTGGTGGGGATACGCGAAGCGTAAAGAATTTAAGTACGATCATAGTTTGGTTTGGGCGTGCCGGAACCAATGTCGCGGCGTCGGCCCAGAACGCTGCCGGGTCGGCCCTGTGCGCATGCGTCTTCAAGAACAACAGAAGGAATGCGCTAACCGAGCGGCAGGTCATGGCTGGGGGCCCAGCCGCCAGCTGCCAACTACTGCGAGCTTGGCCCGCCTGCGCACGCCGCCCTACGGCAACGCTAGAGCTAAGGCCTGCGCGGGGGGCACGGGGCAGCGACCCCCGCCTGCGCGGCCCTGCCCAAAATTGCTCAACTGCGGCCGGGACGAAAAGAAGCCCACCCAAGGTTCGCCCCGCAGGGCTGCCGGCTGCCGCGCCGCGAAAGGATGCGCAGCGCGGCGACCGCCCCAATCCCCGCCGCCCGCCCGGGACAGGTC